TTTATTTATTTATTTTCCCCCCAAAGCCCCAGCAGATAGTTGTATGTCATAGCTGCACATCCTTCTAGTTGCTGTATGTGGGACGCAGGCTCAGCACGGCCAGAGAAGCAGTGCGTCTGTGCGCGCCCGGGATCTGAACCCAGGCCGCCTGCATCGGAGCGCACGCCCTTAACCGCTAAGCCACGGGGCCAGCCCAATACTAACTTTCTTTATTTAAAATTTTTCTTCATTAATAATGAAGTCATTTAAGGCTATATGTTTTCCTCTGAACACAGCTTTAGCTATGTCCTATAGAGTTGGGTATGAAGGGATCTACCTTTGCAGTGTTTTATATATAATTTGTAACTTCACATTTGAGTTTCTCTTTGATCTAGGGTTTTTTTTTTTTTAAAGAGAATACATTAATTTCCAAGTATTTCAGTTTGTTTGTTTGTTTGTTGTGAGGAAGATCAGCCGTGAGCTAACATCCATCACCAATCGTCCTCTTTTTTTCCCGAGGAAGACTGGCCCTGAGCTAACATCCATGCCCATCTTCCTCTACTTTATATGGGACGCTGCCACAGCATGGCTTGACAAGCAGCACATCCGTGCACACCCAGGATCCAAACCTGTGAACCCCGGGCCGCCGCAGCAGAGCGCATGCACTTAACCGCTATGCCACCGGGCTGGCCCCATTAAGTTTGGGTTTCTTTATAAAAATATTTTATCATTTGCTTAGAATTGTTCTAGACTGTGATCAAATCATGTGTCCTTTTAAAAAAAAATAAAAAATAAAAAAAAAATCATGTGTCCTATCATATCTCTTTATTCAACATGTATGGGGTTTTTCGGCCCAATACATGATTATTCTTTGCAAATATTCAATGGGCTTAAACCCACGCAAAGTTCTCTTTAGTCCAAGCTTTAAGCAGAGGCTGTGTGACACAGTTCTAGCCAAAGAGATAAATGAAAGTTATTAGGTAGGTTCTTCCTGGAAAGGTCCCAAATAGGAACATGAAGCATAGGCTGGAGCTGGAACATCCATCTTGCAACCCTGAGGACTAAGGATGGCTGAATGGAAATGTAAAGCCTGGTCTGTAAGGCTTAGAGACGTAACAATCAAATTGAGCATGCTGTTTGTATTACTCAATTTCTTTATTCTCATACTTGTTTTTTTTTCTGCAGATATATTTCTGGAATGGGTGTATTGAAGCCTAAGGAAGGGTGAGGCCAGGGTCTGGTCCGTGGCCTAGCCTACAAGACACCTGCCGGTGCCATGGACTCCAAGGAGAAGCCCTGCGGGCGAGGGGCGGAGTCAGGTTGGTGTCGGGGGCGGTCAGTCCGGTTGCCAGGAGGCGGGACCCGGACACAATGGGGTTTGGGAGTTGGGCCGGGCGGGGGCGGGAACCCAGGCACTCCACCTTGCCTTCCCGGTCGGGAGCCACAGGAACTGGTTAGTGGCTCAACTTCGGGGCCCCCCTCCGGGCACCGGGTCCCCACGCCGCCCTATCGCCGGAGCATCCTCCCCCGATGCCCCTAAAACATCCTGCCCCCCGCCCCAACCCCGGAGAATTCCCTTCCCGCAGTGCTGAGTCCGAACTGGGCGCTCGCACACACACCCCTATAGAACTCATTTTGGGGTAGGAGACGGGAAATGGCCCTGAAGCTCCGTCCCTGCTCCACACCCCCCACAGAGCACAAATAGCCACTGTTTGTTTTCCTGGCGCCCGGGATACGGGATGGGCCCCGCCCCCAGAGTCGGGCTGAGCTAGAGGGGAGCGGGGAAGAGCGTCTCCCGTGAGTTCGGGGTGGAGGGGCTGGGTCCGCCACCTTCTGTCCACAGGTACTATCCACAGGCCGTAAGCGCACCCCACCGCACCATGGGCTCGGACGTCTGGGTGGGCCCTTGGCGGCCACACCGGCCCCGTGGCCCCATCGCAGCGCTCTACAGAGGCCCGGGGCCCAAATACAAGCTGCCACCGAACACCGGTACCAGCGGCAGGCGCAGGACTGTGCGGGGGGCGGAAGGACAGGCTAGCGAGGTCTCTGCCGGGTGGGGGGTGCTGTATCCCGGGCTGGAGGCTGGAAGGGAGGGAATTTCGTTCTGGGGGGACAGTGGGCTGTGCCCAGGGCGAGGAGCGGCCAGGCCGCGTGGTTATGCTGGGACGCTCCCACAGGATACATCCTGCACGACCCTTCGCGGCCCCGCGCCCCCGCCTTCAGCTTCGGCGCGCGCCTCCCCACGCAGCAGACTTCGTGCGGCCCGGGGCCGGGCCACCTGGTGCCCGCTAGCATGACTGTGCGCGGCCGAGACGGCACCCCCGCCTACTCCATCTATGGCCGCCCGCGCCACGCAGCGCCGTTCCTCACTCCCGGACCGGGTCAGGACTCCTGGGACCCCGGCCTCCCCAACGCCTAGCCGTCTCCAGGAAAGCCCACTCGGGAACCCCCCACCTGAGCCCCGAGCCCCTCTCGGGTACCCTAACACTCTAAATTCGGTACCCCCATATCCAGTTCTCAAAAGAACTCCAAGCCCCACCGAGATTTGACAAATCATGGCTCGGATTCCCCCGAATCCCAGGCCCCCAACCCTGTTCCAGCCCACACCCCCGGTCCGCCCCACAGGTAGGTACTTCCCAGAGAGAGCGGGGAACGCGACGTACCCCAGCGCGCCTCGGCACACCATCGCTCCTCGAAACTGGGGCATCCACGCGGTGCAGCAGACCCCAGGTGAGACCACAAAGGCCCATTCCAGCACCGTGGACCTTCCCATCCCTGACCGGGAACCGCTCTCCAGGCGCTGGGACCACCCAGTACTCGCAGCGACGGGGAGACCCCGGGCATGTCCGCAAAGACTCACCCCCAGACCCCACCCCTCGTTGGCTCCTCCCCAGGCCCCGGGACCTACACAGTGCCCTCGCTCTTGGGCCCGCGCGTCATCGGTAAAGTCTCGGCCCCAACTTACTCCATCCACGGCCGCAGCGCAGTGGGCAGCTTCTTCGAGGACCTCAGCAAGGTGGGGGAGGGTCTGCCGGGCACAGCGTAGCAGGGGTCAGCCGCGCGGACCGCAGAGGGTCAGTAAACAAGGGGTGGGGGTCAGTGGTCAGCGGGGAATGAGAGCCGGGCCCAGCGCCCCTTCTGCGCTCCCGCAGACCCCGGGTCCCTGCGCCTACCACGTGGTGAACCCTGGGATCTACAAGTCTCGGGCCCCCCAGTTCACGATGCTAGCACGGACTTCGCTACCCCGAGACGACACCCTGAATCCCGGGCCCGCCGCCTACAACGTAGACCAGGTGGTCTGGAGTCAAGGGTCAGAGGCGGGGATGAGGGTCTGAGGTCCGAAGGTTTGGGACCAGGGTCCCGGGGGAACGGGAGTCCCGTTGAGGAGCCGGCCGGCCGGCTCTGCGAGGTCAGCGACGCCTCCTGGGTCCGCAGCACCGGAAGCCTCGCGGCTGGAGCTTCGGGATCCGGCACTCGGACTACCTGGCCCCGTTCGTGACGGACATGGATAACTGACTGGCCGGCCGGGCGCGGCCCCACGAACGTGTGCTTAAAGCTCCCCGAGCCAGCAGCATCTCCGCCTCTCTGTGCTCGCAGCCGGCGCGCGGGGCGGGGCGGGGACTCGGGGCGGGGGACCAGGGGCTGCGGGC